AGAAAAACCGATCAACTAACCTAAGTTTCTTAAGATTTGAATACGAATCACTTTAATTTGAAAACTTGGTTCAAAAAAATTAAGAAGTTTGTAATTCTTTACATGGTCTAATAGTAGTCATGCTGTTTATTGAACAATAAGTGAAATGTACCAAGTTCTAAAGTTTGATCCTTATACAAAATAATAGATAATAACACTTAATTTAATTATTTTTATTTAAAAAATAAAAAATATTAATATTAAAAATATTAAAATGTTTAATAATAATTTAAATTTAATAAAATTAAAATTCATAATATTCTCCACACATAATTATAATTAAATATTTAATATTCTTAACATTAAAATACATTGCCTTTACCTTTTACCTTTTCCTCCACAATATATATCAGTTGTCTATTTTCTAATTTTCTAAGAGAGTGGCATTAGGACTTGCTGGATGTGGTCATTCTCACACACACACACACACTGAGTCAATGCCCTTCCGTTCTCATTTTCTTCATTCGTATTATTCGTCCTGAATGCGTGTGGCCTCGACTCAAAATTTTTCTTCACACGTGTCCCATTGCTATAAGCCTTCCCCTCCTCAGTAATCCCACTCTCTCTCCTCTCCAACCTCTCTCTTCTCCCTTTCTCTCACTAACTTACATGGAACCTACAGTGCAGGAGGAAGAGGAACGGCTCGAGCGAGTTGAGTCAGTGGATTCACTTCCTGACCTGGACCTGGCGTCGGCTAGCTCAGGCTTATCATCCATGTTCAGTTCCGGAGACATCTCCGCCAGGAGCGGGAGCTCCGGCGAAATTCCAGCGGCCGAGGCTGTGTTGCCGCGGCTGCAGGAACCTGCGAGGCAGAAGTGCGTCGGAAGGAATAATAAAGGAGTCACGTGGGGTTTCACTTCCGTTATTGGAAGAAGGAAGGAGATGGAGGACGCCGTCGCCATTGTACCTGGATTCATGTCGCACACGTGCGATCACGTCGGTGGATGTACGGCTCCCGGTTCTAGAACCTCCGCGGAAATCTCTCCCGTTCATTTCTTCGGCGTGTATGACGGCCACGGCGGCTCGCAGGTTAGCCTATTCAAAATTCCGCCATTTTCACTGTTGATTTTTCTGAATTTCGTTTCTGTTGGCCAAAAAATTATGATATTCACTTTTGATTTACAATGGATTCTGTTTGAAATTCGGGGAGAGTAATTTCCTGTTTGGCAAGCGGAAAGTGGCGCCATCTGTACTGTTTTGGAATTACAATGTGATTTCGACGGTTTACAAAAGGGCGGTGATATAAGGAAAAGTTATAGTATAATTTTTTTATATAATTTTTATGTGTGGTTAAATAAATAAATAAAATTAATATTATAAATTTTAAATAAATAAAAAATTTTAATTATTTAAACGATATATATGATTTAAGGGTTTAAAATGAAAAAAAAGGAATTTTTTTAGTACTTGTAGGTAAAACATAAATATTTAATAATCAGTAAGAATTGAATTCACGATCAATTCAACTTAAGTATTAAAACATAAGGATGGATCTAACAATTTAAAAAGTAATGTTACATGGATAATTTTTTTTAATATAATTTTTATATATTATTAAATAAATAAATATATTTAATATTAAAAATTATTTTAATAATACATCAAATTAAAAAAAAATAAAAATATGATACAACAAATATTTCTCTAATTTGAAAGATGGAATAAAAAGTGGAAAGCAAAAGTGGTTTTTAAATTATTTTTAATTAAAAATTAATTTAAAAAGTTATTGTGTGATGTGATAGGTTAATTATATATTTGATCTGTATAACACGTTGCAAACTGTTAGAGGTCCAGAAGAGCTGGACTGATGGACACGTGTCATTGAAATGTATTCAATACTCTAATTTTTTTTTTTTTATTAGAAACGTGTGGTTTTCTTCGGGTTGCTGGGTAGTGCTAGCGTAAATAGTATGGCACAGGCAGACGATCGCTTTCATCACAAACGAATTGTTCCGGTGTGATGGCCGTGGGACCTACGTGAGAAAAAAATGTCAAAATTTTGTGATGACAAGTTTCACAGATTCCTGGAAGGGGATCCCGTTCTCTTGTTTTAATCCGTTATATCAATATAGTTCCTCGATTTTTTTTTTTTTTTTTTAAATACAGTGATTAAGGATTGAACCTAGATTCATGGTTAAAATATATAGATAATTCTATTGTTAGATTACATGATTGATCGTATATGATTTTTGATATTGTTGTAATTATTGCTGGTATATACTACTAAAGTAGTGTCCATTTGGTTAAATCTCTATGTAGGAGAGTTTAAGTTTGAATTCTTGGATGGGGGAGAAGGGTTTGGGAAAAAGAGAGCTATTTTTTTGTTGTATAATTTATCACTAGATGTTGAAAATAAAATACTACAGTAGTTGTAGATGGGGTTTTGGTGGGTTGGTATGTGGTTGGTTATGGTTTATGAAAAAATTAATGGTGTGAGCAACGAGTAATCAATTGGTTCCTTCTTCGTGGGAAGGTTTCTTCAATGTTTCCTTTTATCATTTTGTGCCACGCGTGAGATCTCTAACCTGGCAATTTCCAGTAGGGTCTACATGGGCCCTTTTGTAGTCAACCAATTTGTCACTTTGCTTGAATGGCTATTTTCTCATTTTCCTACATATATATGATATTAATACTGCTAAATTGATCTCCTTCCTTACATATCTTTCCCTTTTTCTTAAGCTTTGTTTTTGTTAGTTTCATGAGAATGTTAGCATGTTTAACATATATGAAATTTCAGGGATAGGTGACTTAGATTCCAAAATTAAGCTTTTTGATCATAGTTAGGGTGGTAGCGACTAATCTAGAATCTAGTTACTTTGCTTTACTTTTCTGTGACTCTTTTGATTATTTGTTAAATAATCTTGTCTCTATTATCTTGCTTTTCAATAAATTACCAGAAAACTAATTTTAAGTTACAAGTCATTGTTTTTGTGACTAAGTGGTAGGTAACAGTGTTGACATGTTGTCCAATAGTGGTCACAACATCAAAAGGTTCAAACTGTCATCATAGATTGATGTAGCTAAAAGTCTTCAAGAATGTGGTTGGATATATGCCTTTCCAAAAGGGAAATGACTATATAGAAGAGAGTATGTGCTATAATCTATATATCAGAATAGATGACTTACTATTTGAAGTCCAAAAAAGAGTATGCGGTATGCTGGTATGTGTCCATCTGGTGGAGGGCTAACGATGTCTATAAGTTGTCATTGTTTTGGGTTTTTTTTTTATTTTTTTATTTTTTATGAATCACCAACATCTAATTTATTGATAAATCTCACACATGTCATATTGAACATTATGATAATAAGTCTATTGATTGACTTAAACTCTTAATTTTTTTTTTTTCGGCCAACTTGAACTCTTAATTCAAAAAATAATATTGTTCATGAAATTTATCTCTGACCGCATGATATTGTTATTTTAATAATTAAAACTGCTATTGAATTTGGAAATTTAGTCATGCCCCTGGGAAATAAGAGATAATTTGTTGTCTTTAAAAATCACTTTCAACTGTGCCAAAAAAAATCACTTTTCCCATAAAAAAAAATCATTTTTTATATCTCTTATCATAAAAATTTCTTGGTCATATATGACTCATATATCTTCCTCATGTCAAAGCATATTGTTTATAATCAGTACTTGAGTTTGAATGTCTATTGAGCTGGTTCCATTTGATTTGAGTTGCTGATACATTTTGTTTGCACGAAAATGAACCTTTTTGTTTCTGGAATAATTTATTCATATATATACATAAGAATCAAAAGACACATACCCTTTTACAATTCGACCAAGCCTCAATATATAGCTAGAAGTTTTAACTGATTTCTCCTGTCCAAAGATTTCGTTTCTCATTATAAAATCATGGGAAGTTGAGAACCTTATGAATGCTATTGTTTGTCTAAGTTACATGATCTTTATTGTCGACAACTTGATGGCTTTATATTTAGTTGGGGAAATTATTAATAGGTGGCACAATTTTGTGCCGAGAAAATGCATGGAGTTATAGCAGAAGAGTGGGGCCGGGAAACAGTAGACGCCACTGAATGGCAGAGAAGATGGGAAGTGGCATTTTCTAGGGGTTTTGAGAAGGCTGACAATGACGTCTTGAGGGAGGAAATTGCTTCAGAAATGGTAGGATCAACTGCCGTTGTTGTTGTTCTATCTGGTTGCCAAATTATTACATCCAATTGTGGTGACTCAAGGGCAGTGCTTTGCCGAGGAACTGAAACAATCCCATTAACTGTTGATCAGAAGGTCACTTCATAATCTCTCTTGGTCCTTTTTTTCTCATAATTTATGTTCTTATATTCTCATTGCTATATGCTAATTCCTGGTAACCCTTTGAAAGTATTAAGAACATTTTCCTTTTGTTCTTATTGTTTCATTTTACAGCCTGATAGACATGATGAACTCCTGAGAATTGAAAGGGAGGGAGGGAAAGTCATAAACTGGAATGGTGCTAGGGTATTTGGAGTTCTTGCCATGTCCAGAGCTATAGGTTTGTGCTTTTCTCTCTTTCTCTGCTTCATTTCAAATTTCCTGTCCAGAATCCTCAGTTGTTTCCTAGCATAATAGTTTCAAGGTATCTGGTAATGTATTCTGTTACCAACCTGTGGTATCTATCATATTTTATTGTGCTAGCACATAGTTAATCATTGAATAAAAAGGTATCAGCTAGGATTTTTTAGTAATGTGTTTGGGAAAAAATAGTTGTTCAAGAAAGATGTGTTTAATGGTATTCCATGTGATTGACCGTTCAGGAATACTTTGGAAATTGATATTCACGAAATATGAGGATGAAATGTCAGAAGTTTTGACATGTTCATGTTTATGTGAATATAGTAACTTTAAAAATGTTGACAACCTGCACTAATTAGAATTTAGAAACTAATTTGGGAGGTCAAATAAAAGGAAATCTGTAAAGAAAAAGAAAACTGTGATGTTTCCTCCGTTAGCTGGATTTTTAATATCTTGTTTAAAACCTTAGAAATGATATATATATGCATTTGGTACGCCTTTGGTTCTGTTTTACTATTTCTTTTAAATGATTTATCTATTTCTAGTGCAATCAGTATCTATTTCATGGTATATCCATGTTTTTGTTTGTGTTATTTCTCATGCTTTTGTGCCTACTATTGATTCGACAAATGCTTCGTTGGATGGGTTTAGTTTTATGTCATTGGCTTGTTTTTGTTAGTTCAATGCTGGACCAGAGCTTTTCTAGTTTCATTTAGCTGTTTGCACTCAGAAAATAAATGAAAGTGCAAGAAATTAAGCAGCAGAGAAAGCTCACTTGGTCAGCAGCTTAGATACAGATAGATTATATAGTAAAACAGTTTACCTAAAGTATAGTATTAATTCTGTTCTAACATTTTGTCAAGAATTACTTCACCTAAAAGTTTACCTAAAGCATAGTAATAATTTACAATACTAATGCATGAAACTGTTGAATTTCGAACTGATAATTGGGGAGTCAAGAGGGCTACACAAATATCTGGTATGATATAACAGTTAATAGTTATAACTGGCTGTGAATCTTTCAGGTGATCATTATCTAAAGCCATGGGTAATTCCAGTACCAGAAATTACTTTCATGACCAGGACTGATGAGGATGAGTGTCTGATTTTGGCTAGTGATGGGTTGTGGGATATCATGTCGAATGAAGAAGCTGGTGGGGTGGCTTGCCGCCTTCTAAGGAGGAGGCGTAGGTTAATGATGGCTGATGGGGTTTCTCCAGCACAAGCTGTTGCCGATAATCTAACTGACATAGCATATGGACGGAACAGTTCAGATAACATTTCTGTCATTGTTGTTGATCTAAAACCCAGGAGAACACGACAGCCGAGGCAATGAAAGAGGAGGGAAGAAGGATAATTCTTTCATCTTCCTTTTTCATTCAGTTCCACGGCTGCAGGCAGCAGTAGTAATTGTGTGATTAAACAGGTAGCTGTGCAATTAGCCATTCTTCCTGGCGTTAGTCGATCTCTCTGTCACATAACCACAGCTCCCTTAATGGAGTAAGGTTTGACACTGCAGAAAATTTCATCAATATCCTTCTTTTTACTGATTTGGTCAAGTAGTACATCGTGAAAGTGGAAAAAAGTGCTGCTCATGAATGTTTACATACTGAAAAAGATAGGAAAAGCTCAGAATACCATGCTTCCCAGTCCAAGGTATTTGTTTTATATTCTTTTGTTCGTAGTATCCCCTCCCCTTTCCTTTTTCAGTTATTCTGAAGGATGAACCATTGTGAGTGTGTCCTTCATAATTCACATTGCTCATTCTTTGTTTTACTTAAGCGTTGGGGGAAATAAAATTTCTCCAAGTAAAGCCCCTTGTACAATGGCAACTTTAATGTTGATATTAAATACAATGAGATTGGAATGTATATATTTTATTCAAAAGAAAACTTGCCAATTACTAGTACTATGTTGTTAACCTTTTGTTGTCAAGCGGGGATGGGGGACAGGGAGGGTTCGAACACTCGACTTTGGTGCGAACTACGTAGCCACTTTGCTCCTTGGGGTGGTTTGCAGGGATGGATCTTTGGGTTTGACTGTATTTGTGAACGTCTGGTGGCAGCAGGATGAAAGGTTAAAGCATGCCACCCTCCTTATCATTAAGTACTCAATGCATCAAAATTTTGACAAATTCTTTTAGGTACTTATCAAATTTATGGAAATTCCTTGTAATTGTCTCTCATCCCAAGGGCATTGTTCAATTGAAAACTATGTAAGTAGAAATTATGTGCACCATTTGTTCCTCTCTCTTTTCCTATTTTGTTTTTCCTCAAGTGGGCATATAAGCCTTATCTTACCATCATTCTACATAAACAAATGAGTTATTCATGTGGAAACTTACGATCTCTAATTTTCAAAGAAAACATTTTATAGTAGGTAACTACATTGTAAGTTCCTAATCAAGAGATTATTGATGATATGCACACAAATTGAGGCAAAAGCTTAGTTTTAGCTTTTTACTTTACTAGATTTGTAAGTTTTAGTTTATCACATTATATTATGATACTTTTAATCCTTCAAATATTAGAATTAAAAAAAAAAATCTTCACTTATAATATTTTATTAGTTCTGTTAATTGACTGTTAACTCTATTAGTTGATTGTTAGCTGACAAAAACTTATTTTCAGCTGACAAAAACTTATTTTCAGCTAATAGAATTAACAATCAACTAATAAAGTTAACAATAAGTTAACAGAACTAGTGAAATATTATAAAGTGAGGGTTATTTTCTTTAATTCTAATAGGTGAAGGGTTAAAAATGTTATAATATAAGGTGATGAGTTAAAACTTACAAATCTAGTAAGGTAAAAGGGTAAAACTAAGTTTTTGCCACAAATTGAAGTAAAAGGAGAAGCATTTTAAATTATGAGAAGAAAGAATACTCATAGCTATATATTTTTGAATGCATAGAAAGGGTGGTACGAAGTTGCTCTAGTACACTTGTGTGTCCATAAATAATCTCAAATAAGATTTTAGCGCTTTCCTAACTTTTTCTTAGGATTTAGTTTGAAGAAGTGTGCCTTGGAAGAGCTCCATTTTTTGGCATACTATCTGTGTTAAAAGAAAGAAAGAGAGAGAAAAAATAAAGAATACAGTAAAATAGATTGAAATTATACTAAAATAGGTCTAGATTGAGAATCCATTTTATTAATTTCATAATCTACACATTAGATATGAAAATCTGAATGCATTATCTTAAAAGTTGTCAAAATGCAATTTTTTCAATGAAAGAGTATGTTCCAATGTTTCGCAACTATAAATTATTATTAGCGTGTCACTTATATGTGTCATCATTATTTATTTAGTTTCAAAGATCATTACTTATTCATCGTTAACTAAGTCACTTGATAATTATCTCATAACGTGTCACAATATGATTGCTTCCGCATAATCTGTACAAAGGAATGCTTGTCATTGCCACCGCAACTGATAATTTCTCACCATTGGTTTTGCAAATCTTACTTTCTAGGCCTAGTTATTGCATGTTGACATAAGGTTAAGCTTACATGTTTTTCCCTGTTATAAATACTCCATTTTGGTTCACCACTGGCTCAGTATCCAAACCAATTCCATTACCTATCTTCTCCTTGAATTTCATCTATTTTCCCTTCCAATGGAGACTGATCCTTCGCGTCAACAAATTGCTGCCATGAGGCAATCCTTCTTTAATGAGGTTCTCCCCCCATGCTATTTCATTCAACTGCTGTGTGTGAGTTTTATTTATTTATTTAGACAAAAAAAAGGGTCTAATGTGTTTTTTTTGTTAAGCAAAGTGTTAATTATGGTTTTAATTAATTAAATCAGGGGATTTTGGACGAACAGTTCAGTCAACTGGAGGACCTTGTGGATGAAGATTGTCCCAATTTTGCAGAGGAAGTGATTACCCTGTTTTATAGGGACACAACCAAACTTTTGGACAAAATTGAGAAGTTGTTGTAAGAAAAATTAATTATATACTACCACATGTCTTAAAGTTGTTTAATTCAATTTTTAAACATTTAAATATTTTTCTGTGCAGGGAACAATACCCTGATGAGTTTCCATGGATCGACAAGTGTCTGCATCAGCTCAAAGGCACCAGTGCCAGGTAAATATAAAAATAATTAAAACAATAAAATTAAATAAAAATATATGTTTTTGTAATTTAAACTATAAAATAATTTTTTTAATAAAAAAAAGGCAAATTTCAGGTACAGTTCAAAAAAAAAAAAAAAGAGAAAATAAAGGAAATGGTAAGGGTTTTTGCTGTTATTTAGACCATTTTTATGATACTTGCAGCATTGGAGCTATCAAGATCCAAGCAGAAGCCATCAAGACAAGGGAGTTTTGCAAGCAAGGAAATCTGGAAGAGTGAGTTTTAAATATGAGTGGACGCAGCAATTCTTCTGTATCCTTTCTCGAATTTTTGATCATATCTGAATGAAGCAGGAAAAGGGGTTAAAAGAAAAAAGTTGTGTAATTGTAAGCCGTCTATAAAATGGAAAAATTGAGGTTAATTAAGGCTGGTATTTTACAGGGCAATGGCCAGTTTCAAGCAGCTGCGCGTGGAGCATGATACACTCAAGACAAAGCTTGAGCCCTATTTTCAGGTCTTTCTTTCTCCATATCTCTCAAATTTGCACATTTTTTTCTTGTTTTATATACTCATTTTTTTTCTTTGGTTGCTTCTTGTTTGCGTAATTAACAGCTGATGAGGCAAGCACGTCCTGTGGAGACAGCTGTGCGTCCGAAGGAAGATCTTTGAGAGGATCGAAAAGCTGGTGTTGAATGCCCCTGACTGAATTCACCACCACCATTTTTTCTTCAGTTTAAAGAGCCTGTCTGAAATAAAAGCAGCAGGGGTGATGTGCTTGTGTTTGTGTGGGGTTTGTCTGTCTGTCTATCTGTCGTGCGTTTGGTCCTTTTGTTTTCCTGGTCTGGTCTGGTCTGCTCTGCTCTGGTGTAATAAAGGCTTCCTATATCTCTATTAAGGAAGCCCTCTGTTTTCATTATAGCCCGTAAAACTTTGCTTATGTTATGTGGTGAGTAATAATAAAAGATTAGTGTTTTTGGGAAACAAAAATTGTTGTGAAATTTAAACTGTATGGTAGATATTATTTGATGAGAAGTAGGATTTTAATATTAGAGTTTTCTCTCAATTTAATGATCTTATTTTATAATCCAAATTATATAATAGAGAACTCAAAAAAAAAAAAAAGAAGATAATTTTTTAATTATTTTTATCAAAAAATTATTTTACAAAATGAATTATACGTAATTCGATTTATAAAATTATTTAAATATCTTTAAAAACTAATATAAAAACAAAATTAAATACATTTAAGTAATTTTATAAAATGAACTGTATATGATCTGTCTTGTAAAACAGTTATTTATTTATTTATTTCTCACTCTCTTTCTTGTTGTAATTTTAGGTAATTTTTAATCCATTCCTAAAATTATTTTGATGCCCAAAACGTCCATAAATTTATTTTTTTTCAGCTGGAATATGGTTTTTTCTTAATAGAATTATGAGGTGGCATGGATTTTAGTGAGACGATGGAGGGACATTCCACATTATGCTAGTTCCTTGGTAAAGTGTGTGTCCTACATAAGTAAGTGTTAGTTATACTTGGCTATGTTTAATATCAATTTTTAAACTTTTTAAAAGTGGTATACGGTAGGTCATTTTTATTTTTTTAAATGTGTTTCTATGCGTGTATTGTCCGAGCCCAATCGGGGCATTACAATGTGTTGTAGATTACTGAGATCTATTTTATTTTTGTGATTTTAAGATTACTAAGTTAAATGGGTCCAAATTAGCCTATGAAAGGTGAGATTTTGTAAAAATAAAAAGATAATTTTTAAAATTTTATTATATCATTAAAGATGTGATTTTTTTTACCAATTAAAGTTATTATCTCTCAAAAATTTTTAACTAAAAATAGAACATTTTTAATTTTACTAAATAAGAATTAAATAAATGTGTATACATCGACGTGTCTAATGGATTTTATACAAACCTTCTCTACTAAAATTACAAAATTTGTATTCTCAGTTAAAAAATTTTAAAATATAATAACCTTAATTATTAAAATTTTTAAAAAATTATATTCTTATTTGTACAATATCTCTCTAGAAGGTAATATGAATCACACTTCCTATTGTTCTCTCTGGTGATTTGGCTTAAATGAAATTTCAGGTGTTATGATAAAAAAAAAATGGAATTATCACACGAAATGTTAACCTTTTGAAAAAAAATAGTGTTTCTTCCTTTTTTAATTAATCAAATATACTAAGGGTGCATTTGAAATTATAATTGATAGTTTTTTTATGTAGTCATATAATGTTTTTAGATATATGCATCTTTAATAATTTTTTTTCAAATTATTTTTTCAATAAGTTATAGAAATTCATAATAAATTTACAATAATTTTGTATATAAAGGTAAAAACCTCTTTTTTTAACTTTGTAATTGTAATTTTTATGAAAAA